TATGTCTTTGCTGGAGAAGGGAAACTGACCTTTGACACCAAGCACCTAGCCCCCTAAAGGGATTTTGTTGGCCCATTCCCTGGCAGTCAGAAGCATGACAATTGACAGTTACAAGGAGAGATATGGCTATGTCAATGTCAGAATACACTGATTAAATGTAATGGTTCCTCTAACATGCTTCTAACCTCAACTTGCACTTCTGACTACAGAATGCCTTGTGTTAAATAAAAATCTTTTATACTAGAATGACATGTCAGAATTTTGCATTTGTAATGTGAAAGAAGTACTTGCTGACTTGCCATTATTAAGAAAAAAAAAAATAATACAAAAAGAGAGAAAAGACTGAAAATTCTTGTTTTAAAGCATTAAAAACAGCTAAATCAATTTTATTAAAATGTCATCAGCTAGTTTCTTTTTGAAATATGATACCAAAAAAAATATTCAAGATATAATATCTAGCTTCCAAGAATTTGATACAAATGAAATCTTTCAAGATTAATTTCTATACACCACACACATGATTATACTTTGAAGTACAGGAAGGACTCAAATGAAAATAACTCAGACAGCGTAATAAGGGATTGAAGATGGCAATTCAATAGCCGTAATGACAGCAATTTCATCTGAGGAGATATTTCAGATTGCAATTGATAACCACCGCTAATTTTTGTCATCATCATTTGAGAAATCAGATGTTGTTTTCAAGAAGATATAAAATCCCGACCATAATTATCCCACACAAACATAACAGATCCCTCCATCAGGAATACACCAATTTGAAAATGACAACTTTATCCTTCAGAATTAAATAGTCATGTCATCTTCATCTGTGACTATTTGCTTACATAATTTCCATTTTGATTATCTGAATATGATTAGGATTTTGTTTTCAAAGATTGCATGTTTTTGATCGCTGAATGGAACGTCAAATCCAGATATTTACGTCACCAGTACTCCTCAGCCAAATCACTGACAGGGGCAATAACTTTCCTAAGCATTTACTGATGTAATCAAACATTATAATATAATGTTCCACTTTGAGTCAATTTCGTCATTATTTTTTGAATGATGTTAAAGAACTGTGCTTTTTCAAATTTCCTCAAAATGTCAAAGATCCTTGATATTTGAAGTCTAAATAAAAATTTCTATAATTTTCACTATATATACTAAGAGTATACGTAAGGGTAATGTATAACTGTAAATTATGAAACCTAAAACAATTTGAAAGTTGCTCCAACAATACGTACCCTAACAATAATAAATTTTTATGACACAAGCATTCTTGAAACTTATTTTGGGAAATAATTTGAACAAACTCGAATCTACATTACCTGAAGATGATTCCACATGAGTTTCATCTTTCCTGGAACAGTGGTTCTTGAGAAAAAGAATTTTAAAAGATGGCATTAATTTTTCACTTATTCAGAATTCTCTCCCCTCGGCATGGCCCATCATTTGAACAAACTTGAATCTCCTTCACCTTAGAATACTTTGAGATAAGTTTGGTTAAAATTGGCCCAGTGGTTCTTGAGAAGATGAAAATGTGAAAAGTTTTGAATGGGAACAACAACAATGCCAATGATGACAATGACAGACAACGGGTAAATTTTGATCAGAAAAGCTCACCTGAGCCTTCCACTCAGGTGAGCTAATAAGGAAAAGCAAAGCATTTATATAAAGCTGCTGCTGCTACTGAATCTTTTGTTTATTGCCTTGAGCAGCAATAAAGAGGACATATCCCCAGTGTTCTATCAGAGCTTACACAGCTGGATCATACAGCTTAAGGGGGAGGTCATGGATCACTGATTTCCCTCTCATCAGGATTGTATTCGTTTTTCATTAACTGTGGAATTTTCCTGCCTGTCAAACACAGGCAGTACATTCAACTAACAACACACTGCAGCCTGTTACTGAAGCTGGCCTTGTTTTCAAAGTATTCCTCCTTCTGTGGTCATAGTGTTCGGAGAACAAGGTCTCAAATGGGGAATAAAGCTAAGATAATTTGTAACTATGCAGCACAACTGCACATTCAGTAAAAATTCATGGGATATTTTATTGACTGGTAAATAATTAAAAACTGGATTATTTGAGTGGACTTCCAGCATGTATTATTATAGTAAGTCTGTTAAATTATTCTCACAATAAAATCCAGAACTGTTAGCTTAATTTTGTAAATGTACTCAGATGATTGATTTCTGCTATCTTGAGTGGAATTCTTTTGTAATTGAAACATTGTAATTAAAAAGAGCTCCCCTTTTTCTTAATATAGTTATTGTCTTGGTCAGTAAATTCTGAGAATTTTCCAATTGAAAATTGATGTATCAGCTAGCTCATATTTATTAAATGAAGCTCATCTAAAATTCATTTTTAAGTTACAATTGAAGGCCTACATTTTTTTGCATAATATTAACCAAAAATGCTTTCTGTTTTTTGTCATAAATGTTGAGGGAATTGATTAAAGTGATATCAAGGGTTGGATTAATACATTGATACATTAACTAATTTAACAAAATATGAAGATGTAACTCTATGGTTTGGAACCAATGAAATACTATGTTTCTGACATTTTAAATGAAAATCAGCAGTGAAACAGGAACAACACATATCAAAATAATCTCATATCTTAATTTAGTCCCTAGTTTGTCTATTTTATGCATGTGTTGGAAATAAAAATATAAAAATATTTTTACTGTAAATGTATTACATTTGGCTGTGTATTCTTTTTAGCACCTTTGGTGAAAAGAAACTTCCACTATTTCAAGTACAATGCTACATGTCTTACATAATATACATATTTATATTTAAGAACATTAAGTTATGCGCTAAATCAAATCCATGCAAACCGGTATTTAGCTCAAAATCAATATCTGCCAAATATTGGACAAGCTTAATAAAATACATTTACAGTATTTACAAAAAAAAAAAAAGATTCTTAATTTTTTTTTTTTTTATTAAATCTCATTTACAGGTAATCTTTTTGAAAAATAAAGTATAGTATACATATATACAATGACAAGAAATTTTAAAAAAATATATATATTTATCAGGCACATAGCATCAGGTGGGACCAGAGGGGCCACTTTCAGACATAGCATTTTACTATCGAAACTGTGCATCAAAAGTCCAGTTGCCTCCCCCCTTTGTGTTGTAGTTAGTCAAATATTAAGAGAAATGTAAAATGTACGAGTAAAAACAAATGGTACTGAAGGAGACTGGAACCTCTGAGGTATTACAATCAGAAGAATCACCATTTCTTTAGTCCCACAAGATAAAAGAATAATTTAGTATCAAATACTTTTATTTCTTTTTTATTTATCCTTTGGCAATTCAGATTCTTTAAAAGTCTGAATTCCAAATATTATTGTACGTAAGCATTCTTCTTACGAATTTGGCTCACATTTAATAAAGCCTTGGAGAAACAATTCCTTCTTCATTTTAATAATTCATTCAGCTATCATTCAGTTAATCTCAATCTTGGACATTTTTCAAGATCAATTGAGTCTGATTTCAAAAACTGTATCTATATTTAGCTCACTTGAGAACAATTTTTTAACCTTGAGCTACAAAGCTACACCATACATTGCTGCAGACAGTATTAACCAAACCCTTCAAAAACTCTATCCTCTGCAGGGCATAGAGCCGTAATTACAATATAGTTGATCCTCAAAGACAATATGAGTTTTAGATTGAAAATAATGTATAGCTAATGTGATTATGACCAAAATCCAGCAAAACAATTTGATGATGGGCACCAAATCTCTGAAACGATCAAAAATATATCACAAAGTATATATCTTTGTACCGCGCTAGAGATCAAAACACCCTAATCTTATTACAAGGAGGAGAAGAGAAGACCACTCTCCTATAACTGGTTCTGTCACATTTCACATCTAATGAACCATGGAGTGACATGAGAGTATAACAGCACTCGGACTTCTATTGCTTTACCAGGGACTGGAAGCTGTCGATATTGTTTGATATCGACTGATATTGTTTGATGTCGACTGAGTTCAGACACCTGAAGGCCATGTGCATAAACTAACCTGGTTCTCTGCTCTGACTGATTCCCACCAGGGAGTTCACATCAATCCTGTAATTTAGGTGAAATGCTCATTGAGCAGGGTTCTGCACATTAGCATTGTAAACCCTTACCTCTAATTGTACAGTACACATCAATCAAAGTATTATTATCCAATAGTTCCATTTCCAGTAGATTAACATGATAGAACATCCAATGTACATGTCCAGACGTTTTCACCCTGCCCATAGCCTCCAGATCACATTGCAGAGCATCAATATAAAATCATTATTTCTCTTATGTCCTCATTCACAGTATATAAGTACCAACAGTAAATTATAGGCCTGAGGCAATTAATATTGTAAATCTTCTGAGTTGTCAAATATGTCATCATTATCATCATATTGGTGATTTGATTAGAAAAATCATTACAAGAACTAGCTCGGAATACCACAAACAATCTTTATACGATATTCCTCTCAAATTTTATTATTTTGGAGAGAGATTGTGACTATTTACCTCGGATGATTAATGTCAGCCCAATTTATGACAAAATTTAAGTACTCACACATAAGCATACTGTTCAGTATATCATTTATTTATTTTGACCAAGAACTTTACAAAATAAATAGGGTAAGAGGTTATTGACCAGCCTTGGGCATAATTGTCTGCTTTCTCTGATCCAAATTTTATTTGGATCGAAGTTAAGGTAGGCTAGGAGGGAAGCATGTGTGCAGAAATATAATACCTGTAACATGAACATATGTAAATTTGCCACGCCAAGCAGTATATAATTTAGTATCATATTTTTCATAATTTAGTATCATATTTTGAAAATCATCAATACGTTTCAATTGAATCACAAGTTCTTATGACATGATATGGAAATTAGTTGAACATTTGTTCGTTATCTCCATATACAATATATTTCATTGAACATATGTTTCAAAATCATTTACTGATTTAATTTTTTTTTTTACAGTTGATGGTAACTTTAGTCACGAGCTGTCTGACGACCAAGCCCTAGAGGATTACCCACCACTAGAGGGGGGTATTCACAGTGTCACAATAGTGGTAGAAACCTACATATACCCCATCCTCTTATTCCTGGGAACAATCATTACACTGCCTCTTGTTATCCTCCTGTACAAGTTAAGCTATGCAGTCTGGTCCACTTGCTTTTTTCTGGCCATGACCCTAATCCTAGATATGATTCTGCTCTGTGTGGATTGTGGAAACATGTGGTACTACCAAGTCCATAGAGAATCTCTCAGCTTCCAAATCATCCATATGTCCAATGCCTCTTGTAAAGTCTACACATTTCTCATGAGTTTTATTCGATATCTATCCCCCTGGGTCATGGTGGTGATCACAGGAGATGTGTTTATTTCAATGAACTACCCAAATCGTATCTACCGCATGTGCACACGTGAGAGAGCCAATGCCACACTTCTGCTCATAGTGGTCTTGTTGACATTCATCAACCTTCACTACTTCTGGACAGTTGGTCTGACAGAGAAGGGTAAGAAATTTTGTCACCTGTCATATATGGATCGTTCTATGGAGGTATTCACACAAGAAATCCAGCCTTACATGGACAACCTGCTGGAAACTTTCATCCCATTCTTTGTGGCCTCAATCCTTCTCTTTCTCATCCTATGCTACTTTTGCACCAACAGCCAGCAAAGATTTGATATCTTTCAACTAAAGAACTACTTTTTGGAGGTGGAGGCATTGCTTGAGATGCGTCTTTTGGGACTGATTCTTTGTGTGTGGTTTGTGATTGTGTTTTTCTTTAAATCTATCCATCTCTTGTTATTAAAGTTCCAGAGTGACGCCTTGGATTATGATACCATTGCGGCAATTGACTTAACCAACAACCTCCTATATTTTTCCTTCCTAAGTTGCAAGTCATTACTTTTTTATGTGCTTAGCGCTAAAATCAGGAGATGTCTAATGGAGGCTGTGATCGGCAAATACCGTACTGTGGTCAAGCAATCACAAAGATACATAATACAACAGCAGTCACCAAATCTCATCCAGGAATCCGAGTATAGATCAGAAATAGTAGACACTGGGAGTAAAATATCCACAGATGTGTAAGGCTGGGAGGCATACCTAATAATAGGAGCATAGACTTAACAGGTGCTTGTCTAGCACTGAAAATACTGGAGCAGCATAGAGGGTATCCACTAAATGATGTAACTGATCTAATTCAGAAGCATAGAATAATGGATTTGTAATTGAGAAGAAACAGCAACAGCATGAAATCAAACAGTATAAAGTATCCCCAGGTTTATAACTGACACGATACAGGAGCCGAATCAAATCTCTACCATCAAAATCCATATAATATCCATAGAATTGCAACTGTGAGAAGCAGATGATCAACCATTATAATCTGTTATCAAAACACATGCACGAAATAACCAATTGACAGTCAAATAAGTAAAAAAGCAATGTCTTAACATAATTAGCCAAAGAAAGAAATCCAAAAAATTGAAAAAATATGACTGAAATATTTGCCATGTGAAGACAAAAAGAGACAACATGAATTAAAGTATCAATTTTTGTGAAAATGAAATGAAAAAAAAGAAGACTATAATATACATTGTACAGTTCATTGCTTTCTGCATCAAAGAAAATGTTTATAGGTAGCTGTACCAACTTTTAGGTAGAGTAATTTTAATGTTGTGAACATGAAGCTTTATTTTTTATAAAATAAAATGATGCCAGTGTATCTCTCATATTGCCATTTTTAATTCATTCCATATTCTGCAGAAATTTTATTTTATGTGGAAGGATTAAGAAGACGGCATTTGATTTGAACTCTATATATTGTTCATGTGGTTTCTGAGTATTTCAATCTGACAACTGTGTTCATAATTTAATTTTGATTCCTAATAAAAATGAGACATGAACAAAAGTAGGTTGGTGTGACCTACTTCTTGAATTTTGAAGACTAGCTATTTATTTGTATGAAATGAACATTATGAATTATGAACATTTCAGAATAAGATGCTGAATCTTAGGTTTGTAGATTGTAATTTAAATTTAAAAGACTTGCATGATTTGTTAATTTTTTCTGTTCACATAATATATCTCGATAAGGAACTTTTTTGAGAAGAATTCTCTAATTCAATAACAAATTGTTTTAGTGTCAACCTAGTTCTTTAAATAAACCAACTTTATTTAATGCATAAAATAAATAGGGTTGGATTTTTTTGGTATGAAAAATGTACGAGTGACCCTCTTGCCTTTTTTTTTTTTAATGATAAGTATTTCCTTTCTTGACTTCATCAATAAGATGGCAGAGGATATTCTCTATTGAGAAGTCTCTGAATCAAAATGGCTCTCATCCATGCAAACTTCAAAACTGATTATAGACAGAGGTAGCTAAGCACTCATTGTGTGTGCTGGTATTAAAATTTCTGTGTAGTTATTCTTATTGATACAAGCTTTTTTGCCAACAAATATTAGTTAGACATTTCCATTAGCTGAAAATGACAGTTTATATATATAAATGCTGATTGTCTGAATGTATAATTTGATATTCTATTTCTAACATTAATAGGTCCCTAGTGACACAGGCAGAATGTGGCACATTCTGTATAATAAAGTCTTCTATATTGATCGGATTCATACCCAACATCCACATTAAAGATACTACATTGAATCATTCTGTCTACAAATACCGTCAAATAGCATAGAACTTTTGTGGTCTCTACTTAAATATTTCAGATCTGAGCCAACAGCACAACTGAACAAAAATTTGAATACAAAATCAAACATAAACATTCAATTACAAATCTAGGAAACTATTACATTACTTTAAAAAATCATGCTATCAAATTCTAACTGTACTTATCTACTGGTGAACAATGGTCAGATACTTGTCTATAGGTCAACAATGCTCCAGGTCTGTTATGTACATGAACTTGTCTACAGGTGTACAGGTCTATTGTGTATTTGTACTTGTCTACAGGTGTACAGGTCTATTGTGTATTTGTACTTGTCTACAGGTGTACAGGTCTGTTGTGTATTTGTCTACAGGTGTACAGGTCTATTGTGTATTTGTCTACAGGTGTACAGGTCTATTGTGTACTTGTCTACAGGTGTACAGGTCTGTTGTGTATTTGTCTACTGGTGTATATGTCTGTTGTGTATTTGTACTTGTCTACAGGTGTACAGGTCTGTTGTTTAATTGTCTACACATGTACAGGTCTGTTGTGTATTCCTTTGTCTACAGGTGTACAGTCTGTTATGTACTTGTCTACAGGTGTACAGGTCTGTTGTGTATTTGTTTGTTTATAGGTGTACAGGTCTGTTGTGTATTTGTTTGTTTACAGGTGTACAGGTCTGTTGTGTATTTGTCTACAGGTGTACAGATCTGTTGTGTACTTGTCTACAGATGTACAGGTCTGTTGTGTATTCCTTTGTCTACAGGTGTACAGGTCTGTTATGCACTTGTCTACAGGTGTACAGGTCTGTTGTGTATTTGACTACAGGTGTACAGGTCTGTTGTATACTTGTTCTTGTCTACAGGTGTACAGGTCTATTGTGTACTTGTCTACAGGTGTACAGGTCTGTTGTGTATGTGTCTACAGGTGTATATGTCTTTTGTGTATTTGTACTTGTCTACAGGTGTACAGGTCTGTTGTGTAATTCTCTACACATGTACAGGTCTGTTGTGTATTCCTTTGTCTACAGGTGTACAGTCTGTTATGTACTTGTCTACAGGTGTACAGGTCTGTTGTGTATTTGTTTGTTTATAGGTGTACAGGTCTGTTGTGTATTTGTTTGTTTACAGGTGTACAGGTCTGTTGTGTACTTATCTACAGGTGTACAGGTCTGTTGTGTATTTGTCTACAGGTGAACAGGTCTGTTGTGTACTTGTCTACAGGTGTACAGGTCTATTGTGTACTTGTCTACAGGTGTACAGGTCTGTTGTGCATTTGTCTACAGGTGTACAGGTCTGTTGTGCATTTGTCTACAGATGTACAGGTCTGTTGTGTACTTGTTCTTGTCTACAGGTGTACAGGTCTGTTATGTACTTGTCTACAGGTGTACAGGTCTGTTATGTACTTGTCTACAGGTGTACAGGTCTGTTGTGTACTTGTCTACAGGTGTACAGGTCTGTTGTGTAGTTGTTCTTGTCTACAGGTGTACAGGTCTGTTATGTACTTGTCTACAGGTCTACAGGTCTGTTGTGTACTTGTTCTTGTCTACAGGTGTACAGGTCTGTTATGTACTTGTCTACAGGTGTATATGTCTGTTGTGTACTTGTCTACAGGTCTGTTGTGTATTTATCTACAGGTGTAAAGGTCTGTTGTGTATTCGTTTGTTTGCAGGTGTACAGGTCTGTTGTGCATTTGTTTGTTTGCAGGTGTACAGATCTGTTGTGTATTTGTTTGTTTGCAGTTGTAAGTCAGTTAGATACCTGTCTATAGATGTAAATGTTTGTTAGTTATGAACTTATGTCTACAATTGCATAATGCTGGTCATGCTGGTCATGCAATAGACAAATGCAGACACCTCTTCCTCTTTATGTGATCTGCAGTATTCCATTTACTGTTTTGATCATTCTGTTGAGCTATTAATGCTCTCAACAAACATGAATTTTCTACTGTAAATGATTGCAAAATCACCCTAAACAATAGATTAATAATAACAAAACCTTTCTGACTGTTTATATCTTACCATATAATCATGATTAACACCCCCAATATTACATTAAGTGTGCAATTAAACTACCAACACCTGCCAAGAATTTATTCTAAAAAACATAACAAAAAACCAGACCACCATGTGTTTAGCCTCTATGTTGGAATCAGAGTTCGGGCTAGAAAACATATTTCCAAAACATGAGAGAGTTACTGCTGAGAATAATTTAATCTGTATGCTTGTGATGATAGGGGGAACCCTAATTAGTATTCTGACAAAACAATTTCTATAGCAGGCAAGAAACTGTTCAGAAGACACAGGGAACATCAGGTCCTGTCCATAACAATATCGGCTTTATAACATGATTTTAGAATATCCTTTCAGTGTCATGAACTTTTCTTTTACTATATAACGTGACTAATGGGAGTACATGTATTATTAAATATTTGAAGACAATATTCAGCAATCTTCATCAAATCATAAATATAAAAAACATTTCATCCTTTAGAGATAATACATATCTTTGTGAAATATAGCATATAAGTTAATACATCTTTATACATACGAATAAATCTAATCCTGCAAATCATCTTTTAGATATATGTACAAAAGTAAGGAAAATCAAAAGCCCAACTGGGTTAATGTAGTCATCACTTTTGGTCCTCAAAGGGAGTGATCAAATGTGCCATTAAATAAAAACACTAATGATCTTACTGTGGCATTCTGACAAATTGCCATACATGTCACCACATCAATCACTTAGAGACAAGACAATTTCTTCCTCCTTTCTTAAAATGTTTCACTCCAGCCCCTTAAACATGTCAAATTGAGCTGAGCATCTATAGATCCCTTAGAAGCTGGCATTACTTAAGGTGAAATGTTGGGATGCTGGTAATAACACTTGAGAATCAATTTAACCGGTTCCTGACATGTGGAAGACCTGGTTAATTATACTTCTAAACGTAAACAAGAAGTTCTCTTGTCTTTTATCCTTATCATAAGAAAAAACCTGGGCTCTTATTTAGCAGTTTAAAAGCTGGGTTATCCTAATCGCACAGAAAGAAAGTAAAAACACTGTGCCAATTTTTGTTTCTGAACTAAATTATTCTGCAATTCAAAAATTAGTAATAGATCATATGGATCAAATCAATTCATCTACTTTCAATTATTTTCAAGCAGAAATGAATGTTAATTGTTTGACCTCCAAGACAAATATTTAATCATACATTAGGCTCAAAGGCCACAATGCTCAAAGCAGAGTCTGTAGGAGTCAGGTGTTTATTTCAAACAGATCTCTGTGTTCTTATAGACGAAGTCCAGTTGTAAAGCTAATTGAGCAGGGTACATCCTTGTTATTTTTTTAGTAGAAAATATTAATTATTCAAAAAATACTTTTAAATTTCAAGTACTGTGTCCAAACCTAAGATTAAAAAGACTTAAAATGTATCTTTTACAACGTTTTTCATTATATAAATGTTAAATAAACTTTACCTTTTCACCCAATGATGCTCAATTTTGCTCATCATCAACAAATCTGATTAGAATTGGCATAGAGGCTTAGAGTTAGTGAAGTGAAAGACTGTCCAACAAACAAAAAACATACATGTATCAGACAAACTTTGATCAGGAAAACTCTCTTTAGAATATGGCTCAAGTGAGCTAAAAATAGAGCACATCAAAAGATGAAGAATGTCTATTTTCTATTGAGAACTGGCAACCATCCAACCAGAACAATAATTATCACTTCCCTACCTCCTCAACTGACCGAGAATTGATTGTAAACAGAGAAGAGCTAGGGATCTAAGAATTTCCTACTTGTTTTTCAAGGCAATTTAGCTGCTGATATGCTTCATTACATATAATGATAAATAAACATATGTTTGTGTTTCTACAAAATTATTATTATTTTTCCCCATCTGAAAGTTAATTCAGCATACAAAGACAATATAATTCCCTCAGCCCACTAAGAAAGCTATTTTATTGACAACTAGTGGGTATTTACAACCAGAAGTCTCTGTTGAGACTGAAGCTCTACTGGTTTGTACTTATAGCAAAGGAAGAGAAAGGTACTTAAGCAGTTGGAAATTGAAACTTTTCAACAGCAATAAATAGAATAATGATCCTTGACTAAGTCTCTTTATGTTCTTAGTGCAGTCTACTTGCATGCCACATTTATATTATAATCAGACTAAAATTGTATTTGGAGTAGCATTTTGAAAGAATTTCACAGAAATTTCTATTTTTAGTAACCACGGCAACACCGTTCATCGAAATCAAAAACCGATACACAGAATTATGTACCTTATTGTAGTCTACTTGTGTGCCAAGTTATATTGAAATCAGACTAAAACTGTAGAAGGAGTAGCATTTTGAAAGAATTTCACAGAAATTTCTATTTTTAGTAACTACGGCAACACCGTT